TTCACCAGAGTGTCCATTTGTTACAATCGATGAACCAACATTGACACATCGTCATCGTCCAGAGCCCATAGTTTACATTAGGGTTCATTCTTAGTGTTGGACATGTTGGGGGTTTTAACAAAAGTATAATGACATGCATCCACCACTGTAGTATCATATAGAACAATTTCAGGGCCCTAAACATCCTCTAGCACTGTTTTTAGTCCTCCCCCCAGCATTTGATGTAGGCATTTTGATCCCCCCTTCACTGAGGAAGTCATGGAGGTCCTGAGAGAGTAAGTGGCCAGCTCAGGAGGACGGGAGCCTGCTTGAATGAAGCGGGGTGTGCAGCCAGGGGGCCTGTCAGCTGCAATGCTTTCTCACCTTCTGAGCATCAATAGCCTGGTGCGGAGCTCTGACATTCCCCAGGGGCCCCATGGGAATACACTTTATCCCATGGCCGTCGCAGGTGAAGTTACTGGAAGCTCGCTTGCATTTAAAGCAGCTGCTATTATTTTTACATGACAGTCAAACTCATGAATGATAGGGAATTTCCAAGATAATAAAATGCATAACTATCCCTTGTCGAAGAAATATATTTTCTGTTCACAGTCCTCTGTTCATCTGGAATTTCAATGAGCTGCTATTTCTTTTTTCACATATTCTATTGTGTTTAGCTAACCCAAGTTTTCTTGGCAATTTCCAAAAATGCAAAATGACAATAGATTTGCCAACAAGTCGAGACTGTGTGGGGTCCATCCTGAGTATGTACACGCCACACCTGCTGCCCTGGGAGAGCTGTGCAGCCACCAGAGAGGCCTTTTAAAAAAATTTAATAACAAAACAATATCACCAATCAAAACATTACCAAATTATTATGGTTTTAAACCACGTGTACTGGAATTGTTTCTGCTAAAGAAAATTTTAAAAGGGAGGTTGGGAAATCTTTTCTGAGCACAATTGAGATGTCAAGTTCAACATATGTTCATGTATTCGGGCTCAAAAGATGTTGACAGTGGTGTCTCCAAATGTTTCTCTGGCTTTCCTGAAACAGAGTAAACAGTAAGAAATGAGTACCATGTGTGGTGTTTGAGATGCCAACCTGGAGCCTCAAATTCCTGCATTTTCTAAGGATCTGGGATCCTTTTCAGGAATCAGTTTAAAATAACTCCTAATTCAACTGAAAGACAACTTAGGGCTTACAGGTATAGATGCTCCAATTTCCAGCATTTTATTGCTGGCCTCGGTGTTTTTGAGACGACAGTTTTCTCTTCATAGAACAAGCTTAAAATGAGAAAAATCAAACACCCATTAGAGAGAGCAGATTTACTCTCCTATTAATTGATATAGAGATGTAAGATTCTTATCATTCAGGTGGGATGCTCAGCGCATCCTCTGCACATATTTTCAGGGGCCAGAGCCCGGGTCTGCAGCAGCCCACCGGGCCTAAACGGAGCTGTCCGCCTTTAAGAGTAGGGGCTCGAATTTTCCGTGATGGGATGAGCTGTGCTGGGGCTGCGGTCCCTGCAAGGTCTGCACACGAATCTTATGGTGTGTGTGTGTGTGTATTCTCTTCCCGCTTAGTTTTATTTTTTTGCAAAGTGAACAACCTTGAAAGTTGAACTCCTCACTCTGTTTTGGCTTCTCTTTGCGCTGCTGGACAGGAGGCAAGTCACACGTCTGTTTAGCAACCGGAAAATGATTCTTATAGGGAACGGAGACTCTGCGGCTGCTGTATATTAAATACGGAGAGAAGGAGAATTGAGGACCAACCACAGAATTGTCTCCTCCAGAGGCTGGAAGCAACCAGGTGGGGGTGGGGAGGGCGGGCGATGGGAGAATCTGTTGAAATATGACCCCTGGTTTTAACTTTAAATAAGCATTCCCGTCCTAATAGAAGCCCCCCCTAATGCCTCCCGCAGCTTTGATTTTGGAACACGTCACATTCCTCATTAAAGCAATCACTGTTAAAACATAAAGCAACACAGGATTTATTTCTTCATTAAACTGATGATCCGTATATGAAGCCAATTAACATTATGAGTCTGGTGAACATCAAGTGTAAAGAGGTTAGAGAAAATTAAAAGCAGTCACCTTGGTCTTTAGATAAAGAAAGTACACTTTTAGGTTGTAAATTATCGGAGTGTCCAAGCGGGGACAGATCGGTGAATTTGGTTAATTGGAAAATACATTTTACCGCGCAAGAATTAAGTAAAAATAACCTTTTCGTTACTAACGCCCTTCTAAGTGGGGAGGGGGACGGTAGCGAATACTATTAGTCACCTCCCGGGCCCCAAGCGTTGGAGAAAATCGGAGGAAAAAAAGGGGCTCGCGTCATCAAAGTTTGCGGTAGTCTTTCGTTTCTACGGTTGCTTGTTTGTTTGTTTATTCGCGGTTTTGCCACCAGGAGCGAGCCCTGCCTCGAGGCTCCGGGAGAGAGACTTCGGGCGAGGGGAGGCCGCGGGTCCCGAACTGGCTCTGAGCTCCGCGCGAGGTGGGTATTTTCCAGGAGTCCGGCCGATAGTCCCTCCAGGGAGACGTCTCGGCCAGGCTCGAGTCGGGGACGCTGGGAAGGCTGGGATCAAGCGACAACGGGACGCCTTGCGGCTGGAGCCGCGGTGCAGGAGCCGCGCGTGGGATGGCCGAGTCGAGAGTTCGGTCCCTGCCGCGAGAGCTGAGCGCGCGTCCCAAGTAACTTTCGCAGGTTTGGACCAGAAGAAGATTGGCGTCGGTCCCCCAAAGCCTGGGATCTGGCCGGGAGGGTCCCGCCCCGGCAGCGCGGGACCCCAAAGGGGTTCTAGGGACCCGCCCCTTATCCCTCCGCAGCGACTGAGGAGCCGGTGCCGCTGTCCAGGGTCCTGACAGGCCCGGCGGCGCGGGGAGCGCGAGGCCCGCGGACCCAGGACGAGCGTGTCCAGCCCCCGGGACGTCTCTGGGCCTTGGTAGGAATCTGCTTCGGCGGATGTCAGAGACGGGGAGCTGAGACTGGGGCTTGGACCTAGTTGGTTTCTGGGGCCAAAGCGGCGCCGGGCGCCTGGTGCCGAGGGTTCCCGCAGATACCCAAGCGCGCCTGGAGCATCCCGGCGGAGCCGGCCCGGACGCTTTCTTCACCTCGTTTCACAGGCAGCCGGCTCCCGCAGCGCGCGGGGTGCGCAGGAGAGAAGCTGCCGCCTAGGGCAGGAGGGAGCCTGAGGGGAATTTTGGCGGACCCAGGCGCGCAAGGGGCGCCTCGGGCTCTTAAACAGGGCTCCAGAGAGCAGGAACCCACCGAGTGAGACAGGGAGAGAGACAGAGAGAGTGCGACGAGCCTTTTGGCCTGGGCTGAAAGGGCGTCGGCTCCAGGGGCTCCAACCTTCTCTGGATGAAGTGCAAACAGCTCTCTCAGCCGCCCCGCCGGCCCCGCCTGCTACCGCACCCGCCTCCCAGACCTGCAGGCGTGCTACCCCGGGCCGACCGCCCGGACTCTTGGAATCGGTGGCCCTGGCAGAGCTGGCGCCGCGGGCTCTCTCTGCTCTGAACCGAGCCGGAGTTTCCAGCGGTTTCCTCCGCGTGGCAGGGCTGACTGCCCGCTCCGGGGCCGGCTGAGCCCAGGAAGGGCCGCTGAAGCGCTCCGGGCCCCGACTTGCCTCCGCCTGAGTGGTGCCGCGTCTTCCTCCCGGCGGTTTTCGGAGGGTGTCCACGGGCCGGCCAGGGCCCCGGCACTCTGCCCTCCAGCTCAGCGCGCCTCGCCCGGGGAGGGGGTCCACGTGTGGGCCCGCCAGGCCTTTTGTTTGCAACGCGCTGTATCTTTAAGATCAAGGCTGAATCTCGGGCGATGCAGGGACCCGACCCGCCTCCTCGTCAAGGCTCCCGAACGCAGCATTAGAATGTTTATAAAATATTCAATTTATGCAGTCTGTCCAAGAAGCCATCGTCCCAAAATAAAATCAACAGTCTAGACGGAACACAGACGCTAGAACTTATCAACAGTTGTCTGACTTGCATCTTCTGATGCATCTTGAGTGGGTCATAATACCAACTTTATTTTCAGTGGTGCATAAATTAATTACACGCATTTAATAACCAAAATATCATTATATTCCCCCTTTAATATCATAAAGGCTTTCCGCCAGGGAAGCACTTAATAGTGCAGGGGGCCGTAACGGGCTATTATCCTGGTGTAATGCTATTACAGAACCAATTATGCGCCATTAGACTTGCTTTTTTTGCAGTTTATGTGATTTGATCCAATCCCGCGCCCCTGACTTGAAAATTTCAGCCTGGTACTTTAGAGTTTAATTTTCACCCAGGCAGAGGGAAGGGCGCGCTCTCTCCGCTGAGTGTCTGCCTCGGATGCATTTTAAAAGTAATTGCGAAGGGTCCCACCGCATATCATTTGCATGGAGAAGCGAACATAAATTCAGGGACCCCTTGCTGAGAACAAAATCAAACTTTCCTTTTGTACAGTCTCTTGGAAAGGGAAGCCGTGTGCAAAGAGTTCCCCCAAAACCCATCCGGGCGGCGACAATTAGCAGCGCTTTGTCAATTTGCAGCCCGGGAGTCGCCAGGCCTCCGACAAGGGCCAGCCCAAATCCAAGCTCTCGGAGAAAGGTTTGAGTCAGAGGGGACTGCGGGAGGGGGTGGGGTGGAGTGTTCAGAAAATAATGCATTTGCGGGGTGGTTGTTTCTATGCTCTTGAAAAGAAAAGAGGAAAAACATTCCTGATGTTTGCTGAGAAATGACGGTTTTTTTTTTTTTTTTTTTTTTTTTTTACACCACGTGGGCCATTTGTAAGGCCCAATAGACCTATCCAAGTTACTCGCTGTAGACAGCGCTGGAAATAATCAGATTAAGGCCAATTATGCGTGAGATTATAAAGGCGAGTGCTGAGCGGCGGCGCGCGCTGTAGACAGACAGCAAGACATCTGGCCACTTCCCGAGTCACTTTTCTGGTCCTGCGGGCGCCAGCCGCGCGGAGCCCCGCCTGCCTCCAGCCGAGCCGGCGAGCGGACTGGAGGCGGTCACGCTCTGGCCTTCCTCGCCAGCCGCTCGCCGAGGTACGCGCGCCTCCCGACCCGCTCAACGGGCCCCGCGCGCCCGGCCTTGGGGTCGGCTGCCTTCCTGGCGGGGGCTGCCGCTCGCGGAGATGGCCTGGGGTGCTCGCCCGACCCGGCTGCGGTGGCCTGAGTGCGGGGCTGACGGCGGGGACCCCTGAGAGCCAGGAACCAGGCTGCGCGCGTTTGGTATTGGGGCCGAGGCGGGGGTGAGGGAGGTGGACCCGATCCGAAAGGCCGTCCCGCGGGGGGCCTGGCTTGCTACGGCGCTGCCACCCCCACCTCCAGTCCCCACAGTGGACTGAGCGCGTTGGGAGGAGGTTTTCCAGGAAGGCAGCGCCCGGTGCGCTCCAGGGCTGGGCCGGGGCGCAGGCAGAGGGAAATTCAGACTCTGTCAGTTTGCTTGGCAGCCAGGCCGGAGCTACAAGCGCCTCGTCGATCCCGCGATCACCCTCCCGAGTCCGGGCTGTCCAGCGGATCCGGCCGTCGGCGATGTTTTATTTCCACTGTCCTCCACAGCTAGAGGGTGAGTAAGCGCTGCGCGCCCGGGGCCGCTCCGAAAGGCTGGCGCCGGCCAGAAAGGGCCCGCGCGGCAGCGGGGCTGAGGTGGTGGGGTTCCCGCTCCGTGAGGGGCTCAGCCGCCGGGCGGTGGGTAGGGGCGTCCCTGGCCCCTCCCCCCCATCCCGCTCCAGCCTCCCGCCCCGTAGCCACCTGCCTCCCACCTCCCTCCCCGCTTGGGCCTGCGGCCCAGGGCTGTGCGCGCCGCAGGGACCGCTCGGGTCCTCCCAGCACAGATGCTGGTGTCACGCCTCTAATCGGGGCTCCCCTGCCCAGGGGGCCGCATCAATCTTTCACGGTGTTTTGCAAACATCCCGAAAAGCCAAGGTGGACTAGGGAGTCGGCCCCGCATTGGCCGACCATGAGCCATGAACGACCCGTTACCAGCTTGTTCTCTCTACCAGCGCAGGGCAATACTGCTCCGGGCCCTTCACGTCTGCTCCCGGACCCCCGGCCCTCCGCAGCTAGATGGCCCTGCCCACCACGGCGCCGACTGCCCCGGCATGGCTCCTTCTCTGTGACTCGCTCGCTTTCCTGACCCCAGATGTCAACTACTCTCCACTCCCAGGGGCAGCCCCAGGGCCAGGGTTTGGGTCTTTTAGGGTCTCCAGGCCTTGGAAGAAATTTTGCCTCCCAATCCCTGGTGCAGCCTCCGCTCTGGATTGTTAGGTGGGGGGAGGTTGTTGAGGAGGTGACAGCTTGGATCTCTGGTGGCCCCACTCAGGGCCTGGGGGATCCCCAGGGGTGGGCCCTCTGGCCATGGGGGGATTATATGCATCAGGCAAATGCAGAGGCACAACCTCTGGCCTTTTAACAGCGCCATCCTGGGCGCAGTCATCTCAACCATAGGATGTGGACTTTATAACTGAGAAGGATACGACTTCACTTGGCAGCCCACTGCTTTGATTGATTTGTTGGGTGGGAGAGTTTTGGAGGCCAAGAAATTGAGGGATACATGGAGAGGGGCAGAAGGTGGTGAGACACTGAAGGACTTGAGACATCAGAGGATGCTCTTCCACCTTGTCCCATTTTTCCTGAGCAGTAGCTGAACCTCAGCTGGCCAGTGCACACAGGGATTTCAAAAAGTTTGTTTTTGTTTTTCCCATGGAATCTTTTTTTTTTTTTTTTTTTGATGAGGAAGATTCGCCCCAACATCCATTGCCAATCGTCCTCTTTTTGCTTGAGGAAGATTGTTCCTGAGCTAAGGTCTGTGGCAGTCGTCCTCTGTTTTGTATGTGTGATGCCGCCACAGCACAGCTTGATGAGCGGTGTGTCGGTCTGCCCTGGGGATCTGAACCTGTGAACCCCAGCAGCCTAAGTGGAGGGGGAGAACTTAAGCACTAACATCACCAGGTTCCCCCCCACTCCCCCCACGGAAGGTTTTAAGAGTTAAGTAGGATTTTCTGAAGGGGGCTGATGAGCACCAGCATCTGAGCCCCACCAGCTCAGCCAGCGTTCCTAAGAGGGGAAGACCACACATTTGCCTGCATTTCACCTCCTTTATCTCCCAGGATCTGTGTTGATGGGCTTTCTGGAAAGAGGTCAGGTGCCTCCCCTGACACTGTAGCCCGGGACTGGAGGACGACCCTCCCCATGTGTGCCGGGCACGCCTTCTCTGTACTTCTGCACCTGGGGTTTGCACTGACTGACTTCTAGTGGCCCACCCATCCTGTCAAAGTGGGGAAAGCCAAGGTTTGGGGATTTAGCAGGTGGTAGGCTGCCTGAGTGACCTCAGGGGAGAGTCCTGTCTGCAGGGTGGGTTGCAGAAGTCACCTGGGGAGAGTCCTGGCCCAGCCCCTCCTGGCCCCAGAGCACTGAGCTGCTCGCTGCTCTCAGCTCAGCTCGGTCAGTCGGCGGCTCTCCTTTCCTTCCCACACCCCAGGCACGTCTCAGCGCTGCTTCGGCCTGCTGTGACCAGAAGAAAGGGAGATGGGTCCCTGAGAACGTTTATCCCTTTGCAGCTGCGTTCCTAAGCCCGTTTTGCAGAAAGGGGTGTTTTATTTCCATTTAGTGTTGCTGGGGAGGAGGTGATCTGTTGCAGACGGAAAGGCTGAGAACAGACCTTTGGAATAGGATGTCTCCTTATAGCCAATCGGCTTTTTTTTCTTTTTGAGGAAGATTAGCCCTGAGCTAACATCTGCTGCCAATCCTCCTCTTTTTGTTGAGGAAGACTGGCCCTGAGCTAACACCCGTGCCCATCTTCCTCTACTTTATATGTGGGACGCCTGCCACAGCATGGCTTGACAAGCGGTGCCGTGTCCACACCCGGGATCTGAACCAGCAAACCCTGGGCCGACGAAGCGGAATGTGCGCACTTAACGGCTGCACCACCGGGCCAGCCCCACTGATCAGCTTTTTGATTTTTATTTTTTGTTGATCTAGAGAGGCGTAAAGGAGAAAGCAGAGCTTGGCGCATCATCTCTCTTCTCAGATAATTTTACTGATATGAGAGTGAAAGGTACAACACACACCTGCTTAGGAAATTCAAACAGAACAGAAACCTATAGGCTGAAAAGTGAAATCCTCTTTGTCCACCTCTTTTTCTGAAAATCCTCCCTATTGTTGGTTTCTAGTGATTCCTTCAAGAAAAACATGCTCTCACCCTCATTTACGTATTTTTCTCTCTGCATGTTATGCCTTATTTATGCTGAGACGGCACTGCCACACCATTCGACGCTTTGCTCTTTTTTGCTTCATAATATCTATTTTGGGGAGTTTTCCATGCCAATGTCTATAGGGCTACCGATTTATTTTCCACAGCTGTGTAGTATTCCCTTATATGTTGTACAGAAAGTGCCTGCTGATGGGAACTTTCGTTATTTCCAGTTTTTTTCTATTACCGTGTTTCCAGGAACATTTTTCTGTCTCTATTTTGGCACACTTTATAAGTATCTTCATAAATTAAATACCTGTGCGTGTGCTTAAATTGTTGAAGGATATTGTCAAATTACCCCGAATAAGGCTGCATCAATTGATGCTCAGTTGGTTAACCCACAAACTAATTAACCTACAAACGATTAATGAGCCTGCACATTTTATTACCCTCTTATCTGTATTGGGTATCATTATGCACCTTATTTTTTTTTTTTGCCAACATGGTGAAAATACTGGTTCATCGTTCTGTTTTGTTTAATTATCAGCAAGGCTTAGCATTTCCGTAACATTATCGACCATTCTACTTATTTTTAAGTAAAAAGTCTCTCTTTATATTTTCCTCTTTTCTAGTTGTTCTTGTTAATTTGTTGAGCCATCAGTCTTTTTTAGGGTTCGGTTTGACCCACACTGTCTCACTGAAAGGCATACTGTGCACACGTTGTGAAACAGGTTGGGACCAGCAGCTGTAAGTTAGAAGAGTGAGGCTGAGTGTGATGACAGCACTTCAGAGTTTGTGTTTCGTCCTCACCAGTCAAGTGTTTTGTTTCAAAAGGAGACAATTTGGTTTCCCCAAAAATAACGGAAGTAAGACTGATTTGAGGCCGTCCCTTTGAGGTTTCTGATGAGCTGGAGAGAAATGCCTGTAACTAGGGATTTGAGGAAGAACATATCTGGACAGGAAGCTAGAGGGAGCGGGCTCCAGGAGACGGTGGGTGCACTGAAGCCAAGGATGTGGGCCTGGAGAATTGAATCCTAAGTAGGAGGGACTCTCTTTAGTAGATGGAGTTTTTAAACGCCCAAAGGACGTTGCTTCTTTGGGATCGAGGTCCTTCTGAGGGACGTTGTTTGGGTGGCGTGGTTTGTCAGCTCCTAATGCCGAACGCCAGAGATTCTGAGGCCAGAGCCCATGGCAGGTACAGCAATCACCGGCTAATGGGAACTTGCTCATTTGTTTTGCTAAGAAGTCACTGTGGACCGTCAAGTAAATGGCGCGCATTTGGAAAATAAGCTGAAGGCCCGTTTGGGGCCAAACTCTGTTCTGGCTTTATACGAGCTATGGAGGCTGCTGGGGAGGACAGTGGAAAGGACGCCTCTCTTCTTAGGGACATGGGAACCGTGGGTCCTTTATGAGCCTGGCTGCAGGGTGGGGTGCCCTTTGAGAGTGGCCCTGTCTGTCTGCTTGGAATTCAGGCCAGCTGCTGTTGGTGCAGCTCTCCTGTTAATTGACGTCCATATAACAGATCCACTATGGTGCTGATGAGCTGTGACCAATGGTAATTAATATTCATTTATAAACTTCTTACCTCCTTGTGTCCTGAAGTTCTAGGAGAAAAGTGCTGTGAAAGCTCTTGGTGGTTTCTTTCCTCCCCCATCCCCAGCCTTTATCCTTGTTTATAGAAACAGGGGAAAGGAAACTAACAGGTGAGCAAAAGGGAGACATAGAGGCTCCTATTAAAGGAGCTGAGGTAGAGGGACAGAGGTGCAGCTGGGAGCCAGAGGGCAGGTGAGGGCACCACCTCAGCCAATGACCCTTCCTGGCTAGAGTCCCGAATTTCAGAAGCAGCGGGCTTGGCTGTCTCGGGCAGTAAGGATGCCAGTCGCCCTATGAAACGGGCATAGCTGGGCCTACAATCAAAGGTTATTGGGAGAGAGAGGGCACAAGAGAGAGGAAGAGAGGGGGCCTTCATAAGAAGAAGGGAGAAAGATGCTTTGGGACAGACAGGGCTCTGTCTGGAGGGGACAGGTCCGTGCCTCTGAACGCGCGTGTGTGGCTGGGAGTTGAGGTGAGGACCGGGGACCTCTGGCTCAGGCTGACCCAGTGTGCTTCCAGCAGGCACGGCACCCTTTGGCAACCACTCTACGGGAGATTTCGACGATGGGTTTCTGCGCAGAAAACAGCGCCGGAACCGGACGACCTTCACTCTTCAGCAGGTAATGAGCCTTCTGAGACTCAGCTACTTCCTGCGTCCAAAAAAAACCAAAAAAATCAGAGTTTCAGCGGCTCTTCTTTGTCTTTTCAAAGACGTCAACTGAGTGTGTTAACCAGATCTTTCCGTTTGCTTGAACAATTTACGTGTCAAGGACTGGGGCGAGAGGGCAGATGACCCTGACCTTATGATCCCAGATAGTGAGTGAAGAGGCTAGCCAGTAGCTCCCATTTGCCTTAGGCTGATAGTTTGAGGAATGTGCCCCATCAAAGATATCATTTGAACGTCGAAATAACCCTTTGAGGAAGGCAGCTAGGACATTGTTATGCCCAAAAGATAGATGGGTAGACTGGGGCCCAAGAAGTTGACTGATTCGTAGAAGGTATTGTCACCCACAAATTGAAGGGCTATAACTGGAACCCCAATATAGTGTTTCCTGGCCCGGGCTCCCTCTCTTAGGTCTATCCTATTCTTGGGGCAGACTGGAGTGTTCAGGAAGTGATCCAAATACCCTCACGCGGTTTCGGTGGGACTGACATAGCCAGGGCATCTGCAAGGTGTCTCATTTTCCCATGCCCTGTGGCAAGAGCTGTGAGGATTGCTCTAATTCACAAGGCCTCCTTAGATTTTGATTCCTATGAATATATTGAAATGTAAATGCCTATAAATCTTTGCGCCTCTCTTCTTATTTCTACTTCTGGAGAGAGCACTGAGGTTGTTAGCAAGTTTTCGCTCCTAAGTCATCCGTGGTTGAAATTTTAATTCTGCGGGATGTTTGCAAAGAGCTCTTTTCTTTCTCATCTTCCTCTATTTGATCCGTGAAACTATTTCCTCACCACTTATAGCAAATTTGAAATATGTATCTGCTTCCTCTCCTCAAGCCACAGCCACTCCCCAGTAAATATTTCTTCCTTTTACCAGCTGGAAGCTCTCGAGGCCGTTTTTGCTCAAACACACTACCCTGACGTCTTCACTAGAGAAGAGCTAGCCATGAAAATAAACCTCACAGAAGCCAGAGTGCAGGTAAACCTTCTTTTTAATTATTTAACTCTCTGATATTAAAACTGGCAAACTTTTTTTTTTTTGACATCATGACTGCAGAGTGCACATTTGGCCAAAGAAAGCAAATGAAGACTATCTGTCATTTTCATGATGCACTTTAATAACATCAACATAATGTGGAATATTAGATTAGGTTGATTAATCGGTCATTCATAATTAACTAGTGATAATGTTCTACACTAATTTGTCCGCGTCTCTAAGGTACTAAATTACATCAATGCACATCCATTTCCTTGCTTTGGAAAAAAAAAAAAAAAGAGCTGAGATGCTATTCTCAAAGCTGCTCCGACCGCTCTGGGGTAAGGCCGGTCAATTGTAGAGAACTGTGTTTTCAGATGGGAACAGGATAAGGATCCGCTTTCCAGAAATTGCATCATGTCCAACTTTTCTCCGGCACGCGCACTCTTTTAGTGAAGTGGATCCGAAGAACATGGGCAATTTAAAAATCTTTAAACGGCAGCAGCGAGAGGGCTGCCTCAAAGGCGAGTGGGGCCCACGGTGACCATCTCTAAGCAGGATTTCTTTCTAGAAGCTACGCGGTGATTATGTTTAAGTGCACAAACCCGTCGAGCCCAGCAGATGTGCCCGAGTGCGAGAGGAACAGATTTGCAACGCCACCTCTCCGGGCGAGCTCTTCTCTGAGCACAATTATATATTCATTTTATTTATGGGGTTTCCTCCATGCTGTTTCTGTTCTTTTTTTATGTAGGGGCTTGGGGTTAAGACTATGCAAAGATCTAATTGTAGGAAATATAATAGTTTGCTTTCGGTTCCCCTGGGTCATGTTAGTATCTCTTAAAAACCAATGGCTGAAGAGAGATAATGGAATTCTGAGCAGTAAATTGGGGGTTGTAAACAAATTATTTCCCCTATAATCAGATTATGTGATCCTGATTATTAAATCTGAACATGAATCATTGGTCATATGCGGGCAAATTAAACTGATTATTATTTGGAAATGAAAATCTCCTTTGGCCAGGATGCCGTCTATCCTTTCTCCTTTTTTAATGCCGGCTTGCCAAGAGCTGCCTAAAGACTGAACTGCAAATTGAGATAAATGACACAATTATTGAGCATTCAGAAGGGGAAGATCATAACTTCTTCCTGAAAGGTGCAAGGGTGAGATAGGAGTGGCCACAATTAAAGCTGGGAATTGTTGTTCGGGTTGTTGTCGGCTATTATGCAAACAGACAATGGCCGTGGAGCGTGGTTTAGCGAGCCTCCGTGCGGGGACCAGGCTGGGCGCCGGTGGCGGGAAGGGAGCTGTGTTTACATCTCTACCCCTTGCTCATTCAAATATGATTAATGTTCTATAAAGCAGGGTCTTAATCGAAGCTGATGTTGTCAAACAGTAACTAAATAGGGAAATAAACGACTCCATCATGCTCTTTCCTCAGAAGCAGGCGAACTGTCAGTGCAAAGTCATTAAAATATGATAATGAAAAATAGCTCAATTAAATGTTGTTATAGCTGTGACCTTCATTCAATTAAGACGCAAGAAAGTGTCTGCATTTTGCTTTGCATTTAACTGCCCTAAATTTAGAATACAGATAAAATCATTATTCAATGGTTGCTGATATGTACAATTAAAAGCCAACTAGATTAAAAAAGAAAGAAAGAAACCCAGTGAAAGGAGAATGAAAATTCAGAGGTGGGGTGGGCTGGCAGAGGGCTCAGCCTCAGGATCCGGGTTCTCTCCTGGGCCAGTGTGCCGGCAGGAGGAGGAGAGGATGCTAGGTGAGTAGGATAGAGGTCCAGCCAAGCGTTTTTTTCAGCCAGGAATTATCTCCCAGGGGGGAGAGAGGAGGTCTTGCTGGATGGAGTAAAGAGCAGCAGGATTTCACTGACCTCTGGGAACACCTTGGGCCCGAGGTGCCTGGCTCCCGTGAGGCTGTCCTTCTGCAGACGCAGTTTTGGTTCCCAAGGCATAAAGAGTCCCACAGCAGCCTCTAAGAAGGCACTCAGAGCAGGGGGATCATAAGCCTCCTCCTAAAACTAGCTAATGCTTACCGAGTGAGTGGTTGCTCCGTGCCAGGCACTGCGCTCCATGTTTTCATGCATCTCTGCGTTAATCTCCCTAAGGATGCCTGGGAGTGGCCACTGTTATTGCCCCCACCCAGTTTGGATGCTGGTCCTCAGCCAAGCCACTGGACTTCAAACTGTGGATCTGCCACTAACCATATGAATGACCTTGGGCAAGTTAATTAACCTCTCTGGGCTTAGTTTTCTCATCTGTAAAATGGGGATAGTGGGACTGCCTGCTTCGTAGGGTTGCAGTGGATTCTAAACCAGATTCACGGAGGGCCAGAATTCCAACCAGGGTTGACTCTGGAGTCAGTGTTTCTAACGGGTGCCCTGGGCTGCTGGTTATGAGCTTGGCACAATGTGTAAGAGATGATTTCCAGGTTAAATGATAGGTACCAGGCCAGACAGGCTCAGCTGCTCAGGCCAAATCTGCCGGCAGAGTGAAAGAGTATTTTTGAAGAGGAAAGTCCAGAGCAGTGTACGATCCTCTTTAACTATGACACCTCTCCTGCCCCGGGGAGGAGATACATTTCACATCATATCAGTGTCCTCGCCTACACTGAGATTTTCCACAAGATAACACTTTGCCCTTATTATGGGCAATGCATTTGGATACTTTCTATGGTTTCACACTCATTAAAAAATGCCCACCACGCCTTCTACACTGATCTTCTGACCCGTCGTGGGTCTGAAGCTGGAGTTCAGAGAGCTCTGCTTTGATAGATCTCTTAAAAAGGGGGGGCTGTGCCTTGCACACTTGGCTGCAAGATGCCCAGGGTCCAGGTCTTTGGGTTTGGGTTCCGGTTCCCTCCTGATGTCTGATCATCTGCCTCCGTTGCGTGTGTGTTTCTATCGGGGACTCAGGTTTGGTTCCAGAACCGAAGGGCCAAATGGAGGAAAACAGAGAGAGGAGCCTCTGAGCAGGAGCCAGGAGCCAAGGAGCCCATGGCAGAGGTGACGCCACCGCCCGTGAGAAACATCAATTCCCCGCCCCCCGGGGACCAGGCCCGGAGCAAGAAGGAGGCCCTGGAGGCCCAGCAGAGGTGAGGCTGGTTGGACCCCTGGGTCTGAAGGGCCGATGGGCACACAGGGTTAGGAACTCATGTGATTTTCCTTCTCTGCCAGCCTGGGGCGAACTGTGGGTCCCACAGGACCTTTCTTTCCCTCCTGCTTGCCGGGGACCCTCCTGAATACGGCCACATACGCCCAGGCCCTGTCACATGTCGCCTCCCTGAAAGGTGAGTTTTGGCTCTGGTGGGGCGGGGCTGGGGCTTTGCTGGCCTGGTGACGTCTCCGCGGGGATCCGGGATTGTCTGACTGTCCTGCTTTCTGGGTTAGGGTCCTTCTTGCACTGTGGGCAGGTGCAGCTCCTTTATTCCTTCTGTCAATCACCGCCAGCATCACTAACAGCATCCGTTTCCACACAGTCCTGTCTGGTTTGATTTCTGCATGGCTCGAGAATGTACGTGAATCTTGTAAATATCACTGTACCTGACGGGCTTGTCCGAGGGCTGGTTGTTTCCAGAGTGTCCACTCCCTGCTCACAGATTGCTCCCTCAGTGGATGCAGTTTTTGGTGCTCACCTGCAGCTCATGGGCGAGGCCCCTGAGTGGCAATCCTCCACCTTTTGAGGACACTCTCCCTATGTGCAGCTACCCACCTGTCTCCCCCGGGAGCTCCTGACGTCAGAAGTCTCAACTGTTAGGATTTGTGGTTGTCCAAGATTTGCTCTCTTCTCAGTGGCTGTCGTTGGCTGAAGGATGGAAACCATTAGTGATGTTTTGTCAGGCCGAGAGAGGAACGCCTGTGGGGCTGCCCCTTCCAGATTTCCTGGGTGTCCCTGCTGGATGAAGGGGCCCATCTACTGTCTCTCGATTTCTGGCCCAAACCTGCTCCTCGTGTGATGGGGTCAGGAGGCTGTGCTGGCCAGGATCAGGTTGGACCCCAGAGTGGGTCTCGGGGAGCCAGTGCTAGCATCCCCCTTGGGACTCGTCTGTGGCAGGGGTCTGGGAGCTGGGGCTGCAGGTGCCAGCTTGTAGGCTTTTTCCTGATAACAGGCAGTGGGAGGAAACCCCCCTTGGGTGTCCCTTGCTTGTCTGTATTAGGGTCTGGAGTCTCCTGCCCTTGAGGGGGTCCCCCTCCAGCAAGTGGGTCTCACACACACACACGCGCACGCGCACGCGCACGCACACACAGAGTGGCAATCTGCATCGCAAATGTGGTTTCTGGAGGCTGAATGAGGGCATGGTGGAGCCTCCCTAGGGAGTCTGAGGGGAGAGAAAGGCATTCTAGGCACAGGGAACAGCACTTGCGAGAGTGCCAGGAGGGGGAGGGGAACCAGGCTTGTCCGGAGAATGGCCAATGTGTTGGGGGCGCATGGGAGAGTGCCCAGAGATAAGGTGGAGGTGCGCGAGCTTGAAGGCCCTGAATGCCACGCTCCTGGGTTTGCACTTTCCACAGTAGGAGCTGGAGCTCCGAGGCCCAGAGCCTCTTCTGAGTGGTCCAGGTGGCTGGGCAAATCCCGGTGCTCAGCAGGCTGGCATGATTGGACGGGCTCAGCTCTGTCCGGCTCTGGACTCCTAGTGTTTCCTTCAGCTCCAGGGGCCCGTGCTCCAGGCTGTGCGTATCCCCTCAGAGCGGCCTTGGGAATATTCACAGGACACAGGAAGCTGACAGGGCCCTACGGAGGTGGGGTCGGCCAATTAGAAGGGGCTTCCAGAAGGAGACTGCCAGTGGGACTCGGGGATCACTCAGGGATCTGGTCCTTGCAGAGGAGTGATCCCGTGTCCATCCTTTGAATCCTCTCCGCCTTGGTGAGGGCCAGCTCAGTTCCTGAGCATAGCCATCTCTTGTATAAACCTTCTTTGCTTGCTCTGCTCCAGCCTCATGAAAGGGAGGCCATTCTCGTGTCTCTCTGCCTTGGAACCACTTGGGGGTCTCTGGCTAGCCAAACTGAGGCCCTGGTGAGGCCTGCGGTGGCTGAAGGAGGGGCAAGACAGCCAGACTGCCAGGCAGGGAGAGTGGGACAGCATCTGGGGCTGGGAGACCAAGGGCAGTAAATCTGTCACTCTCCTCTTCGTCCCTCACCACTCCCCTCTCGGGCCCTTCCCTAAGCTTTTCTAGCTGGGCTCTGGCCCCTGGGGCCTGCCCTGTGCCTGCTGGAAACAGATTTCCATTTGATGCTGCTCTTGCCATGGTGATGGGGGAGCTTAGGGCGTGCAGGAGCCTGCAGAGGTGACAGAAATCACAGCATGCTTACCAAACTAGGGTCCATCTTTATGCATCGTGGTGGCACTGCTTGGGAAGCCTGTGCATCCCCATGAGAAATCCTTCCTGACTACAGTTGGGGGTGAGGCATGCTGGAGCAGGGGACACGCTCAGATGTTTCCAGAGCCTGGCAGACGAGGAGAGAAATGAGCATGTGCAGGCATTGTCTTTGCTTCCCCAAATACAGAGGAGCTCTTGCTCACTTTTGTTGAGACATGTAGCCTTCTTGGTCTATTTGTCATTTTCCCACTTTTTTTTTTTTTTGCTGAGGAAGATTAGCCCTGAGCTAACATCTGTGTCAGTCTTCCTATATTTTGTATGTGGGATGCCGCCATCACGTGGCTGATGAGTGGTGTAGGTCCACACCAGGGGTCTGAACCCGTGAACCTGGGCTGCTGAAGTGGAGTGCGCCCAACTTAACCACTACTCCGTGGGGCCAGCCCCCATCATTTTCCCACTTTTGAAAGGCGCTGGGAAAAGGCACATTTCTCTACTGTCAGAAACACTTATGCAAGGAGCATGCTAGGGGACACCCTCACATCCGGGCTGGGCAGAGTTGGGAGGGGGGACTGAGGAGCACTTGCCATCAAAGGTCAGCTATTGCTCAGGCCAGCTGATCGTGTCCACGTGGGAATGTGGATGCAGCACTGCCAGAATGTTGAATTTTCAGGACCAGCTGGAACTCCAGATTTTTATTTGAAATATTCCCATTTTCAAGGGTTGCCTTCAAGTGTTTGGGCCAAATCGGCACATCCTTGGTTAGACCAGCCTGTGCCCGGCCGTTTTGTGAGGGGGGCTTTTCCTCTGCCCCCTCCCATCTCTGCTTTCCACATTCTTCTCCCTGCACACTCAGCTCCTCCTCGGGCCTTCACCCCAGCAAAGTTCCCTTCCTCATCCTGACCCCATCACCCACCAAGGCACATACCTGCTGGCCTCTCTGAGCAGCTTGCTTTAGTCTCTGGTCTGCTAAGTCATGTTGAAAGGAATGGAAATGAGCAGTTATTGAAAACTCCTGTGCGCTGCCAGGTGGTCTCACGTTATAGCCTCTTTAACGGTTGTGATAACGCAGTAAATATTAGACAAGGAAGGCTTCCGGAGTTGCGCAGCTGGTAAGTGGAGCTGGGATGGCTCTGAGATAAAGGCTGGTATTGGTTGGGGAACTTTGTGTTGTGAGGTATTCTGAGTTGGCAGTCTCTGGGCTGCCTTTGGGTCGGCTGGGCGGCATAGCCTCGCTCCAGTCTGGGTGAGCTGGGCGTACCCGGAGATGTGCATGGGGAACTGGCCTCTGCTTCAGGATTTAGGGGTAAGTGTGTACCTGCAAGTCAGGTTCTAAACACCCCGAGGGTCAACCCTCAATTGTTTTGCAGAACATTTGTTAAGTAGTTGGGGCCAGGATGTCTTTCTCACTCTTGCAGCCCACATCTTCCTCTCCCAGGCTTCCCCAAGCCATAGAGATCAAGTGCATAGCCCAATCTGGGCCCAAGAGAGGAGCACGCCCTATTTCCTGGGCCTGGCTCAGTGCCAGGAGCTCTGACCTGGGCTATGACCTGGCCTCCCTCACCTTACTTGCACCCCAAGAGGTGGCTGGGCAGCCAGATGCTGGCCGAGCTGGTAGCTGCACCAAACTCTCCTTCTCTCAGAGCTCTGGCCTGAGCTCTGCTTCCAGGGGCCACTGGCCAATGAGGGGACCATCTCAGCTAGATGGGAGGAGCTTTGTTCAAGCCAGGGGGGCTACGCGGCCCCTGGCACCCATCTGGGTTTCTAAGCCCACCCGTTTTTTTCACAAATGCGAAACTGAGGCTCAGGAAGGGGAGTCACCTGCTTGCGTACAGTATACCACTTCTCCAGCTAGGTCTCCCCCGTGAGGTCTAGGCTGCTCTCCACCGGCTCCTGATGCACCCTTTCCTGCAGACTCCATGCATTCCTTCATTCCTCTGGATGAGCGGGGCCCTAGGCACCTTGGACCCCCACCCTGCTTCTCCTCCACAAGCGAGGACAGCTGTGAGTCCACTCGTGTGAGCCCTGGTAGAGGGGTCTAGAGTCACCCAGGACTACCAGAGACCAGGACCAACGTGAGCTGAGCCCCACAGCCCCTTCCAGCCCAGGGATTCCAACCCTCCTCTCCAGGCCTCTGGCAACTTGCAAATGACCCGGAAGAAATAATCAAAGCGAATTTCAGTTCCTGAGTCAAACGAGCGCCCAGTCTCCTTCCCCAAGCGTATGGTTCTAGTGGGATCATACAGCCCTGGACTGATAGCAAGTGGCCTGGGAAGGCCACTGAGGTTCTGGCCCCACCCTAGACCTCACCCTAGGAGCTGTTCCCCTGAGACCAGGGCCTGGGGATCCACGCCATGGCTGTCCTGTGCCACACCAGCATCTGGCCAGCATATGAGGAAAACGCAGGGCTCCCAGTGCCCTGGGGCAGGATCAGTTCTCCCAGAGGCACATGGAGCACCCAGGGAGTGGTCCCAGAGCTAGCTGTCTGCAGAACATGGTGACAGGTACACAGCGAACTAGTGGAAGGACTCCTAGTTGGGGTCCTGGTCTTTGGGTTTTAGGCATTGTTGTGACAGCTGGGAAGTCCTTGCCTGGGAAGCATGAGAGAGCCTTCAGGAGTGTTTGTGGGGTAGCTTGAGGTTTGTCGAGGTCCACTTTGCTGAGTAGTGGTCCTCGAAGTCCTTAGGTCCTTGAACGTAGTTTTATGACTTCACTTGCCTGGAAATTCCTTGGCTTTCGTTGCGCTCTTGGAATACTGGCTATCCACTCCTGGGGGAGGGGGGAAGAAAAGGGCAGGCAGGGTAGCTCAGGGGCGCTGGATGTAGAGGGAATGTGTTCCAGGGGCCCCCACACCTAGACTTGCGGGGTGCGTGTGGAGCTGCGTGGTGACGCCAAGTGCCGCCTCCAGCATGAGTCGGGTGGACAGGCCGGGCCCTGGCAGCTCCCAGTGGATCTAGACTCTGCTTTTTCATCT